TACCTGTGAGGTACTGACTTGAAGTCAGTGCTTCACAGGTAGCAATATCCAAAAATTTAAAAACATTTTATCAGTTCGTTAAAGAACTAGAGCCTCCTAGGTACTGAACCAGAATCAGTGCCTAGGGGACTCTAGTGATCTATATAAATCTGAGAAACTTTGAGGAAATTGTTCGACATTTCCTCAAAGTTTCTCAGCAATTTAGCGAGGAATGTTCGTTATCGTGTAGATATTTATAATATATACATGATAACAAACATTCTCCGCTAAAAGATGTAAAATCTTATAAGAAATGATTGCAAAAGAATAACAAATTGCAACAAATTTTATATGAAACTGAACCTTATGAGGTAGTGATTCAAGATCACCGCCTCATAAGATTCAGTTTCAATCTCAAGTATCTCAAAAGTAAGGCTCTATTTTTTGCCATGTAAAGTGTCACTTTACTGTCAAACCGTTTTTATCGTTTTCGTTTACAACATTTTCATCCTTCGGGATCCATATGATTTTGGCTTCTGTTGCATATTGAAACCAAGACTCGTCCCCTGTTACTAAAAAGCGAAACTTCTTGGATTGATACGCACCCAATATAGAGAGGAGCTCTTTCGAAGATTGGACTCTAGATTTTTTTTGAACTGAATTAAGGTTGTGCGGAACCCAACGTGTATACGCTAGTTTGTAGTTCAAATAATTGTGCAGATAATAACTGACTGTTGTACGTGGTATCTTTGTCATCTCCTCTATCCTTCTAAGTGATGCTCTTGGGTCTTCATCTAGCGCTTGAAGAATTGCTTTGATTTTTCTTTGATCCGGCGATTTTTTGTCAATTTTTATGATGGGCGCCTTTTTGTTCATGAAGTGATACATCCTAACATGATACGTTACAGTGGAATAGCTAGGAGCATCCATACCGAAGCATTTTACCAATGTCTCGTAGATTTTTTTACAGTCTTTGCATTTTTTGCAAGAGCGAGGATGTTTTCTTTATGATTCATTAAAAAAATGAAAAAAATCCCGCCAAAATTTCCCGCGAAACCGCCTCTTGTCTCAAAATTCATTTTATATCCCGGCATGGCGCCAAAATACAACATACTCATCATATACATATATTCATATTTTTTATTATATATTTATAATCAGCATATATCTCCTTTAATAGTCTCATATAGAGCGCTGTGCTAAACGCACCTTTGGACACCCTATATATTATACACATGTATTGATATTACTATTTTTGTATATTTTAAGAGAAAATTATATTCTCCTAAAGTGAAAACAATTTTCCAAATTGCAGCTCCTTCAAAGATTTCTGAAGACTCAACGGTTAAAATTACAGTTTCTATCACAGATCCAGCTGGTCAAACTGCTACCTCTTTATATTAATATAATATTTATTTTGATATATTTTTTAGTTTAACTTTTTTTCTTTGATAAATATTTTATTTTATATTTTAAACCCTTTATTTTTTAATTAAATCATGTCTTGTAAATCAAATTACAACATGGCAAACTTTTGATTCGATATATATAGTTTACGTAACAAGTGATAGCTCCATTAGAAAGCTGAGTTTTGAAAATTACAATACATAGCATATCATTTCCAGACTTTCCCACTTTATTTTTTTTTTATTTTTTTTTAAAATGTTTCGTAATTTCAGGATGCTTTTCCCCTTTAACTTTGTTAAATGCGTAATTTTTTTCTATCTGACAACTGGCTTGAAAGATCATTGAAAATGCGATATAAACAATTTCATTTTTTTTCGACTTTTTTTTATAAATAAAGAAAATAAATATACAAATAAAATTATTTCTTAATTATTTTGTCATATTTGACAATTATATCCTGTCTCAAAGTATCCAAATCCGCAAACTGTGTTGCGTATCTCGAAGTGTCTTCGTCGTACGGCTTAATTACATCAGCCCTATCCAAGAACATCATCAAATGAAACGCGAGAGCTTTGTATTTTATCTGCATCAAAATTGCCAAAGCAGGATGGAAATCTCTTATTGATATGAACAGCAACAAAGCGTTCATTGCATTTCCAGTATCCAAGAAGTGGTGGGCGGCTCTTCTCAACAAACTCTTCGACTCATTCGAAAACTCTTCCAATTTGCAGACTTCGACAGAATCTTCCCATCTTCCGTTGTCCTGAAGATATCTTGCGGCAGAAAGATTAGCGCCAGCTAAATGCATCAATATACAGCCTTCTATAAATCTGTGCTGTGCAAAAAGTGGAACAGCGGTTGTTATCAAAAATTCTGTCACGTTTTGTGGCAAAATTTTATCTTCGTAACCGAGAAGCAACGCCGAACAAATGCTTGCCACTATTGTGAACTCGCTTTTGTTGGAGAGACTCTTGAAAACTTCGACAGCTCCTCTTCTATCACCCATTCTGAACTTGAACAACAAGTTGAAAATGGCAGAAATCGGAGTATCTGCAGGAGAAAACAGAGAAGATTGAATCCTCAACGCGGAAACAACTTCTTCTTTCCCTCCAAACATGGAATGCCGTGCTTGCAACCTCGGACCTCCCAAACTACGTGAAACACACTTCCAAATAATGGAATCAGTTGGAAATCCATGGTCATTAGCTATCTCAGCTATTTGAAGTGCTTCTGACCATGTTCCTGTAGTAGGATTCGTTAATAATTGCTCACCCATAAGCTCTAACCGTTGCTGGGCGGTTTTTAGCGGTTTTAAGAGGGCAGGTGAAGTGATTCTTTTTACAGATCTCCAGTCTCTTGCAATAACGAATTTCACGGCTTCGTCATTGAGCGGGGAGACGAGGACGAGTCCATTTCCTGTTACAGCGAATGAGGAAACAGAAAAAGGACAACTTTCCACTTTTTCAAGTGAAAAACCAAATTTTCCGTCTCTCGCGTGTACGTACAATCCGCTGGATGATCTCTCGAACTCTATCCTGTCTATGTCGATGAAAGGAGAGTATGTTTGCTTCGATGTACCGAAAGCAAAGTCGTAAAACATAATTACGCCGTCTGTGTCAGCAGTTATGATGCAATCGCCTTTCCAAGCAAGACAAGTTGTCCTGGAGTTCTCCCGTGAGTTACGCAGCCTCAGAACAGGCATCTGTGCTATGCCGTTCTTGTATGTGTAGACTTGGATTTCTCCGGTAGATAATAATACGGCGAAATTGGGAGTATCGCCTTGGAAACATGTTGCTGGTATTCTGGATACTTGGACTGCAACAGCGGTGATGGATGTTTGAAGAGTCATCGGCTTTTGTTTGACATCATAAAAAATACCAAGGTCGTATTTGCCGTGGACGAAAACGCCGAGCTCCTCTGAACATATTAGGTCTGTGGCAGGGCCAAGGCGAGTGTGGATTGGAATAACTTGGCGCTTGGGAAGATTTATTGATCCACACTCGGTTTTTGAGTACCACAGAAGGACATCTTTGGTAAGGAACTTGATCTTTTCAATGGATGTGCTGGATGCAAGGTAGTTCTGTGTGTATTTCCCTTCTGAAACGTCTGCGAAAATTATCTTTCCGGTTGGAGTGCCGAAAGCAAGGATTCCGTCGTAGAAATCGTAACAGGTTGGTATCTGTGGTATAATTTGAGACTGCGCGATGACGTAAGGTATATCATCTTTTATGGCAAACATAACTAAGCCATTTGATGGAGAGAACGCGATGTATCGCTCGGGAAGTGCACGGTTACATGCAGCGGATAGTGGTAAATACTTCGATTTTAAGTCAAACAGCTCTCTTTTCAATTTTATTGTTCCTGATTTTGTAAAAATGTAGTCTTCGTTACAGATATAGATACTGAGTGACGAGTCTTGACCATAAACTGTAATTTCGTTGTCATTTGTTAAAGAAGGAAGCAGTTTATGGAAAGATGATTGGGATGATTCATCGATTACAAGATTTCGGCCAGATTTGGTCGCTATGTTAAACGTAAGTATTTTTCCTTCAAGCATAATTAATAAAATATTACTAATATGGGGATGATGTTGAATTTCTACGATTTTTTCTGATTTATCTAAAGTATGGGATTGAGATTGAGATGTTGGAGCCTGCTTGGCATTCTTTGACGTGATAATTGTAAAGGATGGACCATTAGAATATAGAATTGCAGTGAATATATCTGAACTATTAACAGCCATCCTTGTATATGTACCAGGAACATCTATCTTCCAAAGTATTCGTGAGTTTTTCGCTTGATCTTCAGCTTCATACGGCCAAAAATCGATACTATAAATTGTATTTGGTTCTGCAAAGCCTAAAACGATTTTACGGGACCATTGAAGCTCCGATACATACTGAGCTTCAGATACTTGACGAGTGATTCCGAGTGTAAGACCTGATTCACAATCCCATAACAAAACTCTTCCGCAATCGTCTGAAATTGCAAGATAAGGTAGCTCATAGTGGAATTTAAGGCAAGTTATGTTAGAATTTAGAATTTCAATGGATCATAAGAAAGAAATATCATTTTTAGTAGTTTTATAGAGATAAATTGTGCCTTTACCGGCTAATGCAAGTAGCCCACATGCTTCCCAGTCCATGCTCCCTGTGTTGAACACTTTACTAGGTGGACAAAGTGAAGCAAATCGTATCTTAGCTTTATTAAAAGGATTCGCTTGCATTTTTTTTATAAATTGATATCGTCAAAAATTTTAATTCTACAATGTTTTAAATATATTAATATTTAGTTGTACAGAATCAAATCACATCTACTTGAAAAAAAAAAGGTAGTGGGGCTTCCAGGCGCGTTGCGCCCTCTAGCCCCGAAGATGTTTAGTATAAAACCGCTTTTTAACTTCACTTAAAATGCCACGTAAGCTACGTAAGAATATACGTAAGAGGAAGGGAGCATTGAAACATCCAATAGTAAAACTGACACCACAACAACAGTTGCAACAACAAATGCTGAATGACCCCACTATGTTGCAACAAATGTCAAGCAACCCTATGCTTTTAAACCGAGTTATTGGTGCACAGAGTGGAGGTTTAAGAGCGGCACTTTTAGCGAAAATGGCAGGCTATGGTGGAGCTGCAGACGGAACAGCTTATAACCCTCAAAGTCAAATGAATTTGAGTTCACTCAAAAATCAAATAACAGATGTCAAAAAGTCAAACATAGACATACAGAAACAAATAAGTGAAAACGAAAAGAAACTAGAATATGACAGACACACAAAGAAACTCAATGAGTTAAACGTAGAGAAAAAGAAGAAAGAAGAACAACTGAAAGAACTAAGTACAGAGGAATATGCGAAAAAAGTGTCAGAAAAAGCAGCAGAAGTAGCAAAAATGGAACAAGATGTTATAAATTTGAAAAACCATACTACTCAATATAAAGTACTGAAAGATGAAGAAATAAAACAAAAAGCCCTGAAGACATATATGGATAGCGATGAGTATAAAAAAGAAGTTGAAGCAAATGTAAAGGCAGAAAAACTTTTACAGTTGCAAAACCAAACCGTACAGTATGAAAACTTAGCACAAGAAAGTAAAAATAACGACGCAGCCATGCAAAAGGCAATGAAAAGCGCAGAATATATAAAAGCTAATAATGACTGGTTAGACGCCCAAGCCAACGCTAAAGCAGCCCAACTTATAGGGTCAATAAGGACAAAAATACAAGCGGATGAAGACAGTTCAAATGAAGCTTTAACGAATGCTGACTTTAAGAACGCCTTCGAAGCTCTTCATAGTAAGGTGAAACTAGTGAACGACTTCTCATCTGGAAAGAAACTGAAGTCTGAAGGTTTCGACAAAGAGTTAAAAGAAGTAGCACAAAATATGACGAAAATAACAGATGCAGCAACGAGACAGGCAGTTCAAAGTGCCCATGACGCCGTTAGAACAGCTGTTGTGGAAAGTCAAGAAAAAGAGTTACAACAGACCAAAAGAGACCTAGTAAATGCTTTCTTAAGAACGAAAAGTCAGGTAGGACATTATGCTGCAGATGGAACATATGTGCCAGCTGGTGGAACTTATATACCAGCTGGTGGAACTTATATACTAGCTAGTGGAACTTATATACCACCAAACCCTCCAAGAGAAGCACCTGCACCAGGACTACCTAAAACATTTACATCGTCACATGGACACAGACACAGGCATGCACCAAAACCAACACAACAACCAACAGTTCAAAATCCAGCACCAACAACAACAACAACAACCAGCACAACAACCACCTCCACAACCAGCACAGCAACCAACAGTTCAAAACCCTGCACAACAACCACCTCCACAACCAGCACAACAACCACAAACAGAGCAAGGACATAAAAGAAGTAGAGAACAAGGAAACCAAGATTTCTTAAAAATGCTTAAGGAAGAATATGGTTACCCAGATACTCTTGACTTTAGTGACAGATATAAAGAAGCTATTAGAAAGTTCAAGGAAGGAAATACAGACCCGAACCTATTTAGCTTTATGGTTCAGCACCAAATGGGATATAATTTCAAACCTGGAAAATACAAGCTCGCTAAGGGATATGATTTAATAGCATATCATCCAAATGACATGAACGAATTTACTCCGAGATATTTGGTGTCAGAGCTAAATGACAATTCAACTCTCTTCATGAAACGCGTAAAAAATAGAGACGGAACGAAAGAAGAAAGGTTTATGAGTCCGGATGACTTAGATAGGGAACTTTTTAAAAACGGTCTCGGAATATATGAAATGCCAGCAGATGAGGTACAAGAAACTCAACAGGAAGAAGTTCAGATACAACCAGACATGGAAGAAATAGTTCAGCAACAACAGCTAGAAGAGCCTGAAGGAAACGAACAAGTCCCTCCTTTGGAAACTAACCTCACAGAACTAGATGAAGATTTGGAACAGCCGAAAAATCTTGACCCTCAACAAGAGTATGAGGTGAATATGGAATCTTTCCAAGAGTCTAAAAAAAATTCGGCTGACATAGTAGAAGAATATCGAAAAATGTTTGCCGACATACAAAAGACTCCAACATCAGATGAAAATATTCAGCATAGAATGGAAGTACTGAAAGATAATGTACGCAAATACAACAATCCTTTTTACTTACGACCATATAACGTTCAATCTTTGGCTGAACTCGGTGAAAATAAAAGGTTAAATTTCAACAAAACATATAGAAATGAAACATTGTTTAAAGTTCATTCAGAACCTAACCAATATGGAAACAAACCTACTTTTGTTTCTGCAGACTATGGAACTACAATGAGATGGGGTCATAAAGCTAATCCGGATAGGTGGTTCATAAACTTACAACCACAATTCCAAGAAGTTGTAGACGCAATGGAAGTGAATGGTGAACCAGATATAGCTGGTATTTTCAGCGCGGCTTTAATGCCATTGAAAGATATGAAAGATGCAGATATTTTGAACCAGTATGAAATGAACATGGCTGATGGAAATATAACACCTGACGTTCTAAAACATTTATCTCAAAGAACTACACAGAACCATAGAGATGGTATATTTGGTGAAGAGTTTAGAAAGACAGTTAGGGAGAGAGAAGGAAGAGAACCTATTGTACATGACCTTGCAAACGAAAGTTTACAAAATGTCATAAAAACTTACTTTGCAGACAATGAACCGAGAAGGGATGAATATTTAAGAAAACTCAAATGGACAGTACCAAATGAAATGTTAGTATTGAAAAACATGTTCCTTGACAAAATAAAACCAACTACAGAAATAAATGACGAAAGACTGAAACATTGGGTAAAAGCTTTCCCATTCACAAAAGATATTATTGGTAACATGGAAAGAAAACCAGAATGGCTACAAAAACATATATTTGGAAACGAGCTTATTCCATATGGACAAGCTCTGTTTGAAGAGCTTGAACCGGAAACTCAGGAAAGAGTCATGCAAACAATACGCGAAGACTCAAATACAAACTATGACAAAATCTTTCTAGGATATAGGTTACCTGAGATGGGCGACCAGAGCCCAAAGGCAAAAAGGACATGGGAAATTTACAACATACTAGGTGAACATGAGGCAAAGATGCAACAACTTGAAGCAGAGGGCAAGTTACCAAAAGCGACACCAAAGAAGAAGAGAAGAGTAGAACAAAGTGAAAGTAGTGAAGAAGTAACTTCATCTAGTGAAAGTAGTGGCAATGAAGGAAAAAGAAGAGTTAAAAACTCAGTCAGGAAGAAAGTAAAGCTTGGTCCGAGTGGGTTCTATTATGACATATAAATCCAACTATTCTATATTTTTACCCATATGAAATGTACGCCGCTCAGAATATAACGCCAACAGTTTTGGATGCCATGAATGGAAATGTTTCCGAATGGTATAACGAATGCGACAATGCCATTAGAAGGTCAGAAATAGTTCCTGGAACTTACGAATATACAACTGCTGTTTCTTATGGAAACGTAGGTGAGTTTGGAGAAGGTTCTTCAACAACAGTAGATATTGCTTGCGACAGGTTTCATATTATTTCTATTGACAACTCTTTCTTATACGTGGAACAAGACATTGAAATAAAACCTTCTGCCAAGTTGTCTGAAAAGAAAGGTTGCAATGGAATTTTCTATGTCGGATACCAATATGCTCCAGAAGTTTTCATGGGATATAAGATATATTCTAACTCTGACTTAGTTCAAACAGTAACATGGGCAAACTATGAATGGTTCGCTTTAAGAAACTCAGTACAACCACAAGCTAGAGAACAAACAGACCAGTATGCAACTATTGAGAAAATAAGAAGACTTGACCCTAACGTTCCAGGAGTTTATGTTAACCTTTCTGGTTCAGATGGAACTGCTGCCACTAAAGTAAAACTGAAACTTAGAGTTCCTTTGTCATCTTTCCTCATCTTCAGGTTTTTAAGATACTTGCCAAACTGGGCAGGAAAAATTTCTATCGAACTTACTCCAAGCAAAAATAACTTAGTCATTGCACCAACACAAGACCCATTCACTCTTACAGACGTAAAGGGAACAAATAAAACGTCATTCGCCGAATTTTGCAAAGACAAAGTTGACTTAGACTTTGGTTTCTCAAACCTCAACACTGAAGTAAACTATTATTTCAATGCTGCTGGAGATGCTTGGGACCCAGTTAAGTTCACATGCGAAAAATTTGAATGCAAGAGAATAGAAAGCAGACTTGCAGTCTATATGTTGGACCCAGATATTTCAAATGCTTTAGCTGCCAAATATATTGCAGTTCCACTTATGTTCCCTATACACCAAATATCTGTCAAAGACTTTGCAGGTGAAGTTGGAAACCAAAGTGCTGACCCAGGTGCAAGAACAGATATTGCCTTAACAACTGCAATGAAACATGCAGATACTATGTTTGTTCTTTTCAGACGAACTATAAATGACTATTCTTGTTTCTACAACCCTGGTATTAAATATCATATAAACATAGATGGCAAATATTATCCAAGAGAAGAATATTCTACAGTTGAGGATATGAGGTCATACAACTTGACATTAGATGCTATGAACTTTAACAACAACTTCACAACAACCATTAACCCTGAAATGCAAAGTTCTATTATGCCATATGTGAAAGTATGGACCCATACAGGAGGTCAAAAAACTCAATATACAAATGGAGACCGTTCAAACTTTTGGCTTGGCATTCCATTTGCTGACTCAGAAGACTTTATGGGTGGTATTTCAACTGTTGGTACAGTTCAAATACAATATACTGGTGACAGAGACGGTCCAGATGAATTGAAAGCAAAGAAGTTTACAAAACCAATAGCACTTTTCACGGAAGATGCTCTTTTGAAAATTCGTTCGATGAAACCTGCTGGGGCTCCTCAGATTGGCATAACGACAGCTTCCATCGAGCAGATTTTGGCAGCAGGTCAGTAAGTTGTTCTTGAACTGACTTCTCTCCGTCAAATATTGACAGTACGCCAGTTTTGACATAATATTGTATTATAAACTTTCCTTTAGAAATATCTGTAAGTTTTGAAGTTATATTTTTGTCTGCTTCAAGAACTTTCACCATTTCAGTTATACCAACTTTCTTTGCTTTATGAAAATATTTAGGTTCAGCAAAGACTGCTATTCTATAACATTTTCCATTGTTTGTGTAAAGAACTATTCTGTCAATGTATTTGTATTGTTTGTGTGTGTAAACTTTGTTTTGCTTCAATTCGAAGAGATATCTGAATACGTCCATCTTTTTATTCTAAGTAAAATGTCATTTCCGAAAAATAGAAGTGTAAGTGTTTCAAAAGGTTTAATGGCGGTGGCAGATGTGAAGTTAAATTCACCAACTCAAACAAACAGTCAAAGTGTTGTTGTCAATGTCAAAGACAGAGATGTTGAAGTGGGGAAAC